AACAAGGTACTCAACAGTTGAAATATATACTTCAGAAACAAGGTACTCAACAGTTGAAATATATACTTCAGAAACAAGGTACTCAACAGTTGAAATATATGCTTCAGAAACAAGGTACTCAACAGTTGAAATATGTACTTCAGAAACAAGGTACTCAACAGTTGAAATATATACTTCAGAAACAAGGTACTCAACAGTTGAAATATATGCTTCAGAAACAAGGTACTCAACAGTTGAATATATTGTTAGTGTAAAGATAATATTTTCTTTAGCGGCATTAAATTTCCATAACATTAGTCTGGTTTTGCACGTGATTATATCTAGATAATTTGCAACGTTGCGACTTCAAAAAATATTCGGTTGAAATAACAAATCTGTTTATTACACACATATGATGAAACAAATGTTTTGCTATAGCTGAAAACCTAAAGTATACATATACACGTACGTTAACTAAACAGTAAAAGTATACATATACACGTACGTTAGCTAAACAGTAAAAGTATACATATACACGTAGGTTAACTAAACAGCAAAAGTATATATATATACGAACGTTAACTAAACAGTAAAAGTATACATACACACGTACGTTAACTAAACAGTAAAAGTATACATAGACACGTACGTTAACTAAACAGTAAAAGTATACATATACACGTACGTTAACTAAACAGTAAAATTATATATATATATATACGAACGTCAACTAAACGGTAAAGTAAACATATACACACAGACTTACGCTAACTAAGCAGCAAAAGTAAACATATACACACACGCACGTTAACTAATCAGAAAAAGTAAACATATACACAGACTTACGTTAACTAAACAGCAAAAGTATAGATATACACGTAGGTTAACTAAACAGTAAAAGTATACACACACACACACATACGTTAACTAAACAACAAAAGTATACATATACGCCTACGTTAACTAAACAGTAAAAGTATACACACACACACACATACGTTAACTAAACAGTAAAAGTATACACACACACACACATACGTTAACTAAACAACAAAAGGAAGCTGATAAAAATAATGTTATATTCGTTCAAGCAGTGACTAAAAATATATTTTCTTGTTGTTTTTTTTGCAAGTCGTATATGTGACAACCTGATAAAATTAACTTAGATTAAAAATGCTCAAACAATGGCCTTATAGACGTCATTAACAGCTCAGTGGCACGAGTTCTGAACTGACGTCAGTTCTGTACATTGTGCAATCACGTGGAACGTCAGTATCAGTATATAATAAATACCAAATTAAGGAGGACAAAGTCTATATAGATTACACGTGGAAGAAAGATGCTTCTTTAATAGCGCTGTGTTGATGCTAAGTTAGTGTTAAGTGCCAATTCGTGGAAGTATTAAGATATAACAGTTTCTGATTGTACAATTTAATGGCAGCTACGGTGGTTGCCTCGTCTAGTATTATATCACGTAATGAGAGCGCGTTAATTAAAGTACTAACCTTTGAAACAAGAATCGGCTTATATGCAGGCACTGTTACTCTGTTATGTAATATAAAGTTACCACTAAGTTTGTAAAACAAAAAACCATCAGAATATCAGTTCATTATTAATTTATTAGTTTAGTAGATTTCTGTCAACTTTTCTATGATTGCAGTTTTTCAGGTGGTTTCGTTTAATAACACGAACCAATAATGACTAGTGTATTTACGGAGTGGTGTTTTACAATAATACGAACCAATAATGACTAGTGTATTTACGGAGTGGTGTTTTACAATAATACGAACCAATAATGACTAGTGTATTTATGGAGTGGTGTTT